GAACTGGGACAATACCCAAGTCACTACAAAATGTAGTAATTGGTCAGAGCCCCCTGTATCAGAACTTGAAGGTGTGTTCATTCAGAGCAGCTTCCCACAATAAATCAATCATTTTCCTACACATAAGCAATAAGCAAGTATAATTTGACATTAAAACCATTACTATTTACATTAGCACTCTCCAAAACGAAATACTTAAGTGTAAGTCTAACAAAATATGTACAAGATCTATATGAGGAAAACTACAACCCTCAGATCAAAGATTTCCAAAAACTAAATAAATGGAGAGATTTCCATATTTAGAAATAGCAAGACTCCTAGATGACAGTTCTTCCCAATTTGATCTATAGATACAATATAACACCAATCAAAATTCCCTAAAGTTATTTTGTGAATGCTGACAAATTGATTCTAAAGTATATATGGAGAAGCAAAAGATCCAGGGTAGCCAAGTCAATATTGAAAAAGAAAAAAGTTTGGAACTGATACTACCCAACTTCCAAGATTTGCTATAATGTATGATATTGGTGAAAGAATAAAGAAATAGATCAATGGAACATAATGGAACCTAGAAATAGACTTGCATGAATACTGTCAACTGATCTTTGATAAAGAAGCAAAGATAATACTAACAGAGCATGGGCTAATGAGCTTTTCAAAAAATGATGCTGAAACAACTGGACATCTATATGCAAAAGTATGAATCTAAATAAAGTAAGATCTTAAATGATTCACAAAAATTAAATCAAAATGGAAAAGAGACCTGAAAGTAGAATGCAAAACTATAACATTCCTAGTAGGAAAATATTTCCAGGGAAATATCTGGACAACATTGAGTATGGTGATCTCCTTTAGATACAACACAAAGCAGAGACTATGAAAGAAATAGTTGAGGGCTGGGGTGGTAGTTCCTCAGTGGTGGAGTGCTTGCCCGGCATGTATGAGGCACTGAGTTCAATCCTCAGCACCACATAAATAAATAAATAAAATAAAGATATTGTGTCCATCTACAACTAAAACTGTTTTTTTTTTTTTTAAAAAAAAATAGTTGACAAGATAGATGGACTTCATTAAAATTAAAACTTCTCTGTACAGGACAATGTCAAGAGAACGAAAAGACGCACTACAGATTGGAAGAAAATATTTGTAAGTCATTTATGGTAAAGGACTAAAGGACTATTATCCACAGTATACAAAGAACTCCTAAAACTCAACAATAGTAAAATGAACAATCTGATTGACAATTAGTAAAAGACCTGAACAGCACCTCATCAAAGAAGATATTCAGATGGCAAGTTAAATAAATGAAAAGATGTTCCACATCCATGTATCATTAGTGCATTTTAAATTTAATCAACAATAATATACTATCACACACATATTAGAATTGCCAAAATCCCAAACACTGGTAACATCAAATACTGACAAGGATATGGAATAAAGAAGAAACTTGAATTCATTGCTGGTGGGAATGCAAACTACCAACACCTAATTTGGAAGAGTCTGGTAGTTTTCTACAACACTAACTATACTCTTAACCATATGATCTAACAATCTTGCTCTTTGGTATTTACCCAACTGAACTTAAAGTTTATGTCCACATAAAAACCTTTGTGTGTGTGTGTGTGCGCGTGTGTGTGTATGTGTATGTGTGTGTGCATCCAGACGATGAAACACTCTTCAGTGTTAAAAATGAACAGGCTGGGGCTGGGGATGTGGCTCAAGCGGTAGCGTGCTCGCCTGACATGCATGTGGCCCGGGTTCGATCCTCAGCA